CATTCCCTTCCCAGGCCCCCAAGCCCTCCGCCCCAGACGCCCCCAGCCCTGTGGGCCACCGGGAATTTTAGGTTTGGGGGTGTTCCCGGGAGGGGGGAGGGGTGCAAAAATGAGAATTAAAGTAGGTATCTAGAATGAAAAAGAAGTCACAACCAAGTAGACGTTTTAAAAACTGATAAATAGCAACGTCAGAACAAAGTCTAGAAAAACCACATGCTTGTATTAAGTGGACATCCTGGGAGAAATGTGGCGACGCTCAGGAAAACACGTGGAAATAGGCCCTGATCCAAACCGGTTGCAATTAATTTTTTTTCCTCCAACATTTTATGAAAACTGTCCAACATGGACAAAAGTTGAAGGACATTTATGGCGAACCCCCAAGTACTCACTGCCCAGATTCCATGATGATACTGCCGCACGTGCCTTTCCGCGATGGGTCCGCGTGGACACATCTACTCTCCATGCACACGAAGGTGAGCTGCAGACGGAGTTCACCTGCGCGGCTCCATGGCATTGCAAGGCGCACTGCTGACTTGGCAGAGCGCTGTGGCACCTGCCCAGGTGAGCTCGGGCCTGCCTCTGAGCACTGATCTGGGGATACCTTTCCGTTCCGGGAGGTATTCTGTGCACTGTAGCCTCTCATCGCCTTGTCGGCTTCTCCACCTCCCCAGAGTCCAAGCTGTGGATGCCCTCAGCTTCTGAGGAGTGGGGTGCGTGACCCTACCCCAGCTCTAGAACTGTGCCCTGCGCCCATCATCCTCGCCCTTGGTCGGCCTGGCCGTGTAAGCTGACCCTCCCGACGGGTCTGTGCACAGGCGGTTTGGAGGAGGCCATGAGAAGCAGGAGAGAAGCAAGGCCGGAACCCTGAGCCGAGGTCCTGCGTGTTTGTGCTCCAGAGCAGCAGGCCTTTCGGGGCTGACCTGCATGGGGATACCATTGACTGTGCCTTACTGGTAGTTGCATTGGGCTCTGCTGCAGAAACCCCAAAACAGGTCATCCCCGCGGCCACACAGAAAAGCGCACCGCGTAACATGATGTACTTCCAACTTCCTCTCTAAGCAAGGACCCTTCTTCAATATTCACCAACATTCGCTATGTAACCCCCACATGATTTATCGATTACCATCGAATGCAAGCATTGCATCTTCCGTATCCATGTTCCCCCGCCTGCCCCTGGTAAGTGGAGCAGTCACTAAGTGCTAACTTTGCTCGCAGCTTTCCGCCTTACCCCGCCGGGCTGAGCCCCCGCCC